AAAATTAGAGGGAAATAGTGACTTAGTGTTGGCGGGGTTAAGGACTGAACACGAAGCAAAAAGGAAAGCCCCTTGTCAGGTTTCTTTGGGCTTCGGGGCTGTAGGGGATACCTTTGATCGGGGGGTGGGGGGATGAGGAGACACGAAATATATTGAGTAGGGTTTTAAATTTTTATTCACCGCGCGCAGACATGACTTGAGACCCACTTTCGGCGGGCGATTGGAACAGCAAGAGGGCAGCTGGCTGCAGCTTTCGCGTGCTGAAGGCAACCTGGCCAGCCGTGGCCGGCTGGAAGTTCGCAGCATGAGCAACGGGGATGGAACATTGGGAAGCAGTCAATGATCCTTTTTGCGCTCTCGCTCCTTTATGACCTCGTGGATCAGGATCTTCGCATGTCTGAAAGCAATTTCCGGTTCAGTGTGTGTCTGTGGAGCTCAGTGAACTCTGCTATGGCATCTCTGGCTTTTGACTTGCAGATGGAAGAAAAACAGGCCTTCCTGTTTAAGCGTTTCAACGCACGCTAAGGACAGGGCCTCGCGCTCCACTCCGCAGTTTGGAGAGAAACAAGAAGGCAAGAGCCGCCTTCTGGCCACGAAGCCCGTCCTCAGAGCTGACAACTTGCCAAGGAAGCCGCGGGCCACATCAAACAGAGCGTCCACCATGCTAGTTGGAATGTTTGGACTTTGAGGCAGACTTGGCAAGGGGGTTCTGTTGATTGGCAAGAAGGCTTGGAACTGTGTCCGCTCCACTCCAGCCGCGCCACTCCACTACCACTCCACCCGCCGCTCCACTCCACCACCCCGCGCCCGCTTGAGAGCTTTACGTGCTGCGAGTGCTGCTTTTCTCGTGCCAACCGTGTCCAAACAAAGCAGCCAAACAGCTTTGGTGCAGCTTCAAAACTGTACCAAAACTGCACTGAAGCCGCACTATTTTGGCGCAACTCTAAACTGCACCAAGACACCCGCTGCGCGTTTATACGCCTTGCCCAGCATTCGGTTTCTTCTGGCATGAAACGCTCACGTAGAAGCTAAGAGAGAGACATGAAGAAACCATCCAAAACCTTGATGCTTGGGCGTGCGCACGCTTGTGACTTTGCCAGTTTAGGCCTGGCCCGCGGTGTCCGAGACAGCCCGTGCATCGCTCCCACAGTCGCGGTACTTGATTGAATTGTTTCAACACACTTTAATGGCGTAATTTACAAGATTTTCACGGATTTCTTATTGCTAAAAAATGCCACATTTCAAGGATTTTCAAACTATTTCTACTAAAACTTTCGAGTTTCGTCAACTTTGTGCATTCGCAAACTTCGGTTTGCAGACCTAGGGCATGGTGTGACGCACGTTGGGCGCCCTCAGCGCACGGAGCCGCACAAGGTTTGGAGTCGCGACCCAGCTCTTCGTGATTGGGCTCATCAGCGCAGTGAGACCAATGCTGTCAAATTGTGCGAGCTGGCAAAACGCGGTGAAATGCTTCTCCAGGGTCAGTTGACCGAGGCTGCTTCCTCGCACAACGCAGTGGTGTTGGGTCTGCCTGTATCAGATAGTTGATTCATTCATTCATTCATTAATTCAATCAATCATTCATTTATTCATTTATTCATGCAGTCACTTAGTCGGTCAGTCATTCAGTCAGTCATTCGTTCAGTCAGTCATTCATTCATCCATTTGTTTGTTCATTCATTCAGTCAGTCATTCATTCATCCATGTATGTATTCATTCATTCAGCCATTTATTCAATTCATTCATTCAGTTCGTCAGTCATTCATTCATGCCGTCAGTCATGTATTCATTCTTTTTTCAGAGCGTCAGTCTTTCTTTCGTTCATTCGTTCATTCATGCGGTCACTCAGCCGGTCATTCATTCATTGCAGCCAGTCAGTCATTCATTATTTCATCAGTCCGTCATTCATTCCTTGATTTTGCATTCATTCATGTCATCCATCTACCATCGAGTCAGTCAGTCAGAGTCAGTCAGCCAGTCACTGAGCCAGTAACTTATTCATGCAGTCACTAATTCAGTCGTGTATTCATTTATTCATTCCTTGATATATTTATCACTCATTCATTAATGACAAATTGTTGCTCCATATATGCCCAATACGCTTGTACAGGTTGTGCGACTCTGTGTTTTGGCTCAAGTAAAAGTCTGCTTCGCAGCGGGACTAGAGCTGAGTAAGATAATTTTCAAGGCGCTGGGTCCTTGTTGTTACACGCCCCGCAAGACATGAAATCGTGCCGCAAGCGGTGTGCCAGTGGGGAAAGCTAGTAAGAGTCATGATCATGCTGTCATTTATAGATGTATGGCATGAGGCCACTTTGAAACAAATCGCATGGGCACACTCGTTTCACTTAGATGTTGCTGACGACGCACGTGCTATCACAGCTCCCACCGCGCACAAAGCCAAGGGTCTGGCGTGCCATGGGGGGTCGGAAGGGGCGCTGTTGAATGTTGAGGCCCACCCCCGTCACAAAACACAATGGCGCACTGCCTCTGGCCAAGATACTGAGAAGGTTAAGCTGGCTAACACATGGGAGATTGATTTCTTGCGTCGTTCAGTTGTGCGCCAGCAGGATTTGACTTGGTAGAAGCTACAGGCTTTGAAGTTGCCCGTCGGGAAGTGCAGTGCGCACTGCCTCTACTAACACATTGGAGCTGGGTTCGTTGTGCTGTGCTTTTCTCTCACACACGCGGATGCGCAGGCCTCACGGTTCGAGTAATTTCTATGCTCGCAACCTAGCTCAGTAGCTCAGACAGGTAGAAGCTAACGTGAAAGCACATAGGCGCAAACCAGCCAAGGTACACCTGCGTGATGTTGGTTGAAGCGCATGTGAAACGCGGTGTGCCAGGGGGGAAGTGCTTGTTGCGGGCATTAGTTGTCAGCAGATTGTTGGAAGGTTGTTGCTGGCAACGCATAGGGGTGGCTATGAACACAGAACTTAGCAACATTGCAGCGCATCTTGGTGAAGTGTGGTGTGCAAAATGCATGAATAAATTACTGGCTCAGTGACTGGCTGACTGACTCTGACTGACTGACTCGATGGTAGATGGATGACTGACTGAGTCACTGCATGAATGAATGTCTAAATCAATGCATGAATGACTGACTGAATGAAAGAATGAATGACTGACTGGCTGCAATGAATGAATGACCGGCTGAGTGACCGCATGAATGAACGAATGAACGAAAGACTGACGCGCTGAAAAAAGAATGAATAAATGACTGACGGCGTGAATGAATGACTGACGAACTGAATGAATGAATTGAATGACTGACTGAATGAATGAACACATACATGATGAATGAATGACTGTCTGAATGAATGAACCAATAAATGGATGAATGAATGACTGACTGAACGAATGACTGACTGAATGACTCACCGACTAAGTGACTGCATGAATGAATGAAGGAATGAATGAGTGAACTATCTGACAAATTAATCACTGACTGACTGACTGACTAAATGCATGAACGAATAAATTACCGAGTGACTGACAAAATGGTTCAAGGATTTCAATGAATGAGGGAATTAATGAGTTAATGAATGAATGAGTGACTGACTGAAAGAGTGACTGAATGCATGAATGAATAAATGAATGACTGTCTGAATGAATGAATGAGTGATGAACAATTGAAGTAATGAATTAATGAATGGAAAAATGAATGATGAATGAATGAATGAATGAAACAAGGAATGAACGAGTGCGTAAATCACTGACTGACTGAATAAAGTCTGAGTGAATGAGTGAATGGACAACTGAATTCATGAAAGACTGACTGACTGACTGACTAACTACCTGAATAAGAAATGAATGGTTAAATGAAGCAAGCACGTTAATGAATGAGTGCATTAACAGACAAATGAATCAATGAATGACTGACTGAGCGACTGCATGAATGAATGCTTGACTGACTGACTGAATGAAAGAATGACTGACTGACTGAATCAATGACTGACTGACTGCCTGCCTGCCTCACTAAATGAATGAATGACTGAATGAATATTGAATGACTGAATGAATGAATGAATGAATGAATGAATGAATGAATGAATGAATGGATGAATGAATGAATGAATGAATGAATTAATGAATGAATGAATGAATGAATGAATGAATGAATGAATGAATGAATGAATGAATGAATTGAATGAATGAATGAATGAATGAATGACTGAATGACTGAATGAATGAATGATTGAATGAATGAAGGGATGAATGAACGAGTGACTCCATGAATGAATGAATGAATGAATGAATGAATGAATGCATGAATGAATGAATGACTGAATGAATGAATGAATGAATGCAGGAATGGATGAATTAATGAATGAAATAATTAATGAATGACTGAATGAAGGAATGGGTGAATGAATGAATGAATGACTGAGTAACTGCATAACTGAATGAATGAATGAATGAATGAATGAATGAATGAATGAATGAATGAATGAATGACTGCATTCAGGAATGACTGAATGAATGAATGAATGAATGAATGAATTAATGAATGAATGACTGAATGAAGGAATGGGTGAATGAATTAATGAATGACTGAGTAACTGCATAACTGAATGAATGAATGAATGAATGAATGAATGAATGAATGAATGAATGAATGAATGAATGAATGAATGAATGAATGAATGAATGAATGAATATATGAATGAACGAACGAACGAACGAATTAATGAATGAAAGAACAAGTGAATGAATCATTTAATCAGCCAACCAAGCAAGCAACCAACCAAACAACGAATCAATCAACCAATCAATCAAATAGTCAATCAATCAACCGGTGCACACCTGAAACATGTTCCAGTGAAAGGTGGCCAACAGCGACTGCTTAACTCTACTAGCACCCCTGAAAGTCCACTGACAAACTCACCTGAGCTGGGATTGCGTTCAAACAAAAGGGCTCCTGAACATAAACAGCTGGGATAATTTAGGCCCCATTTTGTACTCCAAGGTGGAGAATTCTACTTTCCCAAGACTCGCACCAAGAGCTGCGTCTTGTTTTGCTCCTGGACATGCTCCTGGCTGAATGGAAAGACTTGAACTCAGGGTTCAGACGGGAACTCATTCCAAAACACGAACAATAAGAATCAGCAGAAATACAAGGTTCCTCTGGCGAAAGCGTTCGTGCCAGGAGTTTGTAGGCAGACGCAAAGCTAGAGTCCAGCCTGGCCGCTCTGAGAGCAAGTGCTGCAAGAACATGGGAAATGACAGGCACGACTTTGTCACTCAACGAACATGCCCAACTCCATGCAGATCTAGCCAAACAGGAAGGACAAATCCACTTCGCAGGGGCGGACATCAATTTGTGGGAGACCCCCCTCAAGCGGACTTACAATGCTCAAGATGGCAGCGGACTTGCAATCGCAGAGCCTGATGGCTTCTAGCAGCAGCTCGCGCTGGCCGAAATCTGGCGAGTGACCACCACTTCCGAGAGGCCGCAATTCAGTGGGGTGTTTCGACTTTCACTTGCCATTCACGTCCTGTGGGCAGATTTTCTTGCGTGGAAAGAAGCTCCAGTATTTTTTGGGTTTGAAGGCCACCTTGGCAACATATCTTCGGTTGATAGATAAAGCTCGCCGCGCTTTGGTTCGACTTCCAAACTGCCCAAACGCAGTTCGAGCATGCGACAAACAAAGGGGCTGGCCATGAAGCTCCTGCTTCTTGCTCCGGGACTTGAACGGTGGCTTCCTTCTTCCCGTGCAATTTATCTGAAACAACACGCAAGGTTTCTCAAAACAACACGCACCTTGTTCCTGCCCACCTTGTCCGTCCAAGGACATCCTTTCCCCAGGCTGCAGGGCAAGGGCCAGGTCCCCTGGCAGGCAGGTCCACTGGTCATCTCGTGAGTTCATCCCCAGGCGAGCTAGATCTGAAACAGCTCATACCGATCGATGCCCGGCGAGTCACTGTAAACCACTGCCTGTGGCCTCTCCCATGCGGCGCGCAAGTCGCAAAACCCGGCGGGCAAGCGGTACGCGCATATGTGCCTGGCAGGCGGTGAGCGCCATCGTTCTTATCACAGGTGTCAAAAGTATAGGTTGCCTTAAGTGAATGCCGCATTCGGGCGCAACACGTCTGGTCATGCTGGTAGCTGACGTCTCAGACATCTACCGCGAATGCGCGCCCCGCATTTCATGCGCATTGAATGTCCAAACACAGTACCACGACAAACCGGTTGACGACCACCAAGAATCCACACCCAAATCAGCAAAATTGAGATATGGCAATAATGCTAGAGGGCTGGTACCGTGCCCATGTTACATGACTTGATTAGCTACACGATCTAGACATAAATCCTTGCACCCCGCTCTGTGCAAAGAAAACATCTCAAGTGCCCTCAGCCGGATTTTCGGATCACGCCCTCTTCGGCTTGCCGTTCAGGCAATCTTTACGCACGCGCGCTGCCTTGTTGTTCTGGATTGCACGTCCTGTCGTGGTAGCCCTTGCCCGCTGGTGCCAAAAAGATGGCACCCTCTCTGCCACTCGTCAGCAGTCATTGCTATTGAACTCTGCTATTTTCTTGAAGTCCACCATCATCCTGCTGAACCCAATCAATGTCCCTCCAGCCTGCGCTGCTCTCCGCATGGAGCTCTTCTTTCTCAGCTCCGCAAACCTCTTCGTTGGCAATCCCATCGTGCCACAGTCTACCAGGTTGTCTGCGCTGGGCACGGCTTTCAGCTTGAAGAGATTCCTCCGTTCTGTACCCCCTTGACTCCTGGATGCCGAACTCTCACGCATCCTCGCCTCTGGAAGATCTGCGTAGTCCAGCTTGCTGCCAAAAACTTGGAAACCTCGACTATGAAAAACCCCTCACTGTTCAACCCTTGCTCGGCTGAAGACACAGGGTGCTGCTGAAGGCCTCCGCAGGGTGCTGTTGCAAGGCGCTGCTGCATGCTGCAGGTCGACACTCAGAGCTGCGCAGGGTGCTGCAGGGTGCTGCTGAAGGCCGCCGCAGGGCGCTGTTGCAAGGCGCTGCTGCATGCTGCAGGCCGAGACTCAGAGCGCAGGGTGCTGCAGGGTGGTGCCGAAGGCCGCCGCAGGGTGCTGTTGCAAGGCGCTGCTGCATGCTGCAGGCCGAGGCTTAGTTTTGCGCAGGGCTGCTGAAGGCCGCGACACGCAGTTGCGCAAGGTGCTGCAGGGTGCTGCTGCAGGCCGAGACTCAGAGTTGTGCGGGGTGCTGTTGCAAGGTGCTGCTGCAGGCCGCGACTGAAAGTTGCGCAGGGTGCTGTTGCAAGGCGCTGCTGCATGCTGCAGGCAGAGACTCAGAGTTGCGCAGGGTGCTGTTGCAAGCTGCTGCTGCAGGCCGCAACTCAAAACTGCGCAGGGTGCTGTTGCAAGGTGCTGCTGCAAGGTGAGACTCAGAGTTGTGCGGGGTGCTGTTGCAAGGTGCTGCTGCAAGCCGCGACTGAAAGTTGCGCAGGGTGCTGTTGCAAGGCGCTGCTGCATGCTGCAGGCCGAGGCTTAGTTTGCGCAGGGCTGCTGAAGGCCGCGACACAGAGTTGCGCAAGGTGCTGCAGGGTGCTGCTGCAGGCCAAGACTCAGAGTTGTGCGGGGTGCTGTTGCAAGGTGCTGCAGGCCGCGACTGAAAGTTGCGCAGGGTGCTGTTGCAAGGCGCTGCTGCATGCTGCAGGCAGAGACTCAGAGTTGCGCAGGGTGCTGTTGCAAGCTGCTGCTGCAGGCCGCAACTCAAAACTGCGCAGGGTGCTGTTGCAAGGTGCTGCTGGCCGGGACTCAGAGCTGCGCAGGGTGCTGTTGTGTTGAAGGGCGCTGCTGGCCGAGATTCGGAGTTTCGCAGGGGCGCTGTTGCAAGGCGCTGCCGCGGGCCGAGACTCAGATGTGCTGCAGGGTGCTGCAGAGTGCTGCTGCAGGGTGCTACTGCAGGCCGAGACGCAGTGTTGCGCAGTGTTCTGTTGCAAGGCGCTGTTGCAAGGTGATAAGCAAATCCAGTAAAATTGCGAGGGACGAACAACTCTACATTTCACACACAAAGGTCACAAAGGCATACATTTCAAACTGCGGCCATTGGTCGCGCCATGTGTGGCAGGAAATGTTTGACACTTCTGGCTTGGCCATATTTGAGCTTTCTCAGCTCATCACGTGTTCAAAAGTGCCACCCGCAGGCGGCGCAATAAGCAAATCCACCAAAATCGCGAGGGGCGAAAACCCATATGTTTCGCGCTCAAAGGCGTACATTTCTGCGGCCATTGGAAATGTTGCAGACACTGCTGGCTTCGCCGCAATTGAGCCCTCTTGCTAGCCAATCATGTGTTCAAAGTGCCGCCTGCAAGCGGCGCGTTGAGCAGGTCCAAAATTGCATGCAAGTTTGCACACAAATGCAAAGAAATCTGTTACGTGTAGCAGGAAATCGTGTGGACACTGCTGGCTTGGCCGTTTTTGAGCCGTCTTTTCCAGCTCATCAGGTGTTCAAAGCGCTGCCTACAGGCGGAAAAATCCACCAAAATTGAAGGAAACCAAAAAACTGCATATGAATACAAATGCATATATTTCGGCCTGGGGCCATTGCTCGTGCCATGTGTGTAAATGTTGTGGACCACGCTGGCGTGGCCGTATTTGAGCCGTCTTTCCCGTGTTCAAAGCGCCGCCTGCAGGCGGTAAATCCACCAAAATTGCGAGTGAGTCTCGCGCACAGCTCGGCAAACACAAGGCTTCCACATTACGCAAATTTGACACTTCCCAAGATCTATAGCTTGAAAATAAAAAGGGTTGGCTGCGTTTTCCTGTTCACGGTACTGAGATTCATTGGTTTCTGGTGACTTCGTGGAATGACAACACGTTCTTGCTATCTGGGGTCTATGCTGGTGTAATTATTTTTGGCAGCACCGTGTCACTGCTTTGCTCAAAGATTGACTGGTGCCGGTCTAGCTCGAAATGGTTCTCTGCCAGCTTCTCCTCCATAGTCCTCCTTTCACGGGCGCGTCTACACCGTGGCCTCTGCAGAACTCGCACGCGGTGGTCTGCTTCAGCTTGTTTCAGCCTTCTTCGCAGCGTGTCCTGTCGCCATAGAAGGGCTCCTTCAGCTCTCGAAGTCTCTCCCTCCACTCTGCCACATTGCTCCCTTCTCTTCTCGCAAAAGGATCATGTTGGTTGAACTCGTCTGGCGCTGCCTCCTCCGTCACCCTTGACGCTTGGCACTGCCTGACCGGAGCAAGTAGGTGAAGTGATCCGGTTGCTGTCCGACCACTCAGGAATGATGTCTGATGACGCGTCAGCCCATGACGTCACCCTTTCCATCAAGCTCAGCAATGTCATAATCATAGCACGCTGCGTCGGCGGTAGCCTTCCTTGAGCCTTACACTCCGTGTCCGAATTCCCTTTGGTCGGGTTGGGTCGGCGTGTGGTTGCGCAAGGCTGCTTCTGCGGTGGGCTGGCTCTGGATGTCGCTCCAGGTCGCGGTGTGGCCTAGAAGGTCTGTGGTGGCTTCGCCGAAGGTGGTCCCTGTCTGCGCGCTCATGGCCAGCTACCACGCGAACGTCTCCCAGGCGTCCTTGCTCTGTAGGAGGCGTTTTGGTGTTGTCGGACAATGCGCCCGAACTTGTCGATGAAGGTGTTGATGGCGCTGTTGATGGCGCTTGAACGGACAAAGCGCCCTCACGACTGCGCGCTTGAACGCACTGCTACGCTGCGCCTCGCGCACCTGCTCATGCCGCCAAGTGTTGTTGGAGCTGCCGTGCGCTGGCAACCTCTGCAGGCGGACGCGCTTGTTTTCACTCCAGCTTGCAGTCTCCGCTGGTCTGGGCAGCGGTCGTTTGCAAATGCGCTGCGCAAGGCTACGCCCGCCACCGGCCGGCAACCGCCCTTGCGAGAGATAGGCAGCGAAAGCTTTCAGAGAAAGAGACCGAGGCGCCCCCGTGGCGCACGGGCGCCTATACGAACCTAACCATGGAGCCTTCCTGCGGCGGCAACGACCGGGCCACCCAGATACATGTACGCAGACGTCTATGTATCTATACCCACATACATGTAGTCGGACGCCATGCTGCAACACACAACCTCTTTTTTCTCCCTGCGAACCGCACGCCGGCCGCATATGGAGGCCGGAGTTTGTGCGCTGCCAGCCAAATGGTAAGAATACCGTTCAAGCGCACCCGCGCAGCACTGTATCCATGCCAGCCCAATGGGCACTGTGTGTCCATGCCAGCCAAATGGTAAGAACACCCGTTAAAAGTGCACCCGCGCAGCACTCTATGTATCCATGCCAGCCAATGGTAAGAACACCAGTTCAAGTGCACCCGCGCAGCATTGTTTCCTTGTTAGTTGAATGAGGTCCAGCATCGCGGCCAGCGAAACCTTCGGGTACCAGCCGGGCAACAGATTCGGCAGGACTGCCTCGCGTCGCAGCAGCCCTCCACAAAGCCCAGGTCCGGCAGCACGCCGTCGGGTCAACGCCGTCCGCCGGGCAAGGATGGGCAGGGGGAAGGGGGCGTTCTCTCTCTTTAGAGGGGGTTTCCCAAATGGATTCTATTCTACCTGAGAGGCTCCTAGCACTCGTCCGTCCAGCATTTGACCTCGTCCTGCGAAGGATTCGAAGTCTAAAAGGCTGCAAAATAATGACCCCTAGATATGCTTGCAATTTGGCTCCAGGTTGCATTTCAAGCGAGCCAACCTTTGCAGGGCTAAGAAAAAACAAAAAAAAAGAAAACAAGGGGTCCCAAAAAAAGGGGTCCCCGAAAAAAAGGGAAAAGGGGTTTCCTTTGGCAAAGCTTGACATCGCTTGAAATGCAACCGGGAGCCAAATTGCGGCGCATATCTAGGGGTCATTATTTTGCAGCCTCACGCCTGCACGCAGCGTTTTAGACTTCGAATCCTTCGCAGGACGAGGTCAAATGCTGGACGGACGAGTGCTAGGAGCCTCTCAGGTAGAATAGAATCCATTTGGGAAACCCCCTCTAAATATTCTGACCCGTTGAAGCGTACCCGTGTAGTACTGTATTTTTTTAAGCTAGATGGTGAGAACACCCGTTCAAGT